GGACAAGGTGCGTTTCTATCAGTCTTCCAACCATTATGACCAAGTTGCGAAAACAAGGTCAAACAACTTCAATATGAGCAGGCCTCATGTTTCTATTGTATTTCGCATAACCTTGCTTACAAAAAGGTATTCTCATCCAGGCTAGATTGAACTGCAGTTTTGGCCTCACCTAAGTCGCATTCGCACGCCCAGCGGGACTAGAACTCGGATAGTTAGTCATACAGTCTAAACAAAAATCCTGCTTGAAAAATTGACTAATTAAAATTGACTCCGTTTTTACAAGAATGTGGTTTAGTTCCTACGAAGCCTCTTGAATAGCATGAAATATAAAAGCTTAGAATATTTCCACCGAAACCTTTTTGAAATGTCTGTTACGGGAATCAACCCTTGACAAATATAGCCTTTCCTTTCGACTCTCCTTTTTGGTGTCTGTCAGACCAGTAATGGTGGTAAATAGCAAAACGATTTTAAATAAATCTTTCATAGTTTCTCGCTGTTTCCGTCTAGGTGTCTCTCAAAGCTGAGGGCAGAATGCCGTTTTCTAGAGACTTTTCTGGCCAAGTTGGGTCGTTTAGGTGAAAAACGCCTGATTGGAAGTTGACAAGCTAGTAACGGCTTATAAGGATACCTAGAGAATCGTTATAAAGATAAAGACAAAGGATGTCATCGCTTACCATTTTGTGTCCTGCCTTTTCCGTACGGTCCACCGACTGGGCCTCCTCCAGACTGGCTCCCTGCTGCTCCGTTAGGGGCTGCTGTTGGGGGTGTGCTTTTGGCAGGTGGTATCGGCTTGTATGTCTGTCCAGTGGCTCGGTAAATTGATTGAACCCATTGCTGACGCTCCTGGTCATCGTCTGCTGCGAACATCATGCTGTCGCCCTCCTTGACCAGATTAAAGAAAAATTGCCCACCCAGTGGTGCCAGGTCTGAAGACGCATGGGAAGGTGAAAAATAAATTTATAATTGGCTTACATACTTGTTCTGTTGGCGTAGATAGGCAGAATAGTGGGCTCAGAATCTGAGACTATTTGATATAATCTGTATGGCAAAAGCCAGGCTACTTTTTGGATCGTAACCCAAATTTATCGTCCTGGACAAGTATATTTGTGAAGAGGGATTAAATCACTTTAGGCCTGCTATTTATACAATCGCCAGGCTAGAAAGCAACATGTCGTTCTATAAGGACACGGGTCGTGCGTTTGACGCTCGGTGAAGAGGAGGATTGCGCCCAGGCGAGATCGTATCCCTGATCAAACGTTAATAGAAGCCCATTTTTGAGATATTCCTTTTCTGCAGAGTGAAAGCTAACAGATTGAACCACCACTTATGCCCCCTCATTCTTAATTAACCCCACTTCATGAAAGTCTTAAAATATTCCGGTTTATGCGTAAACGCGTTTAAATTGAAGAACCATATGGGCCAAGAGGCCTTCAAAACACCATACTGCATATGCATGAAATAAAAGCTAAGATGTAGGGGTTGATAAAGACTTACAAATAACACACGATAAAATAATAATAGTAAAATTATTAATACTGGTTTTGATAAAGTTCTATTCTAAAATTCTATGCCAACTTTGTTGGCAGCCCCTATTACGAAACCTTAAGGTATCCTATTCTTAAAAAGCTTTGTATTTGCCAAACTGTGATAGTATCATAGACAGCAAATCAAGTAAAAATAAAATGCGAAAGGCATTAATTTTACATTAAACTTGTCTCTATCCACCTTCTCAGCAGTTGTATATACTCTAGAATAGGCCACTGTCTCAACCTTATCTAAAACATTTAAGCATTCAAGGAATAAGTCAGGACAAATTCTGGTTTTATATCCTAGTACTCGTGGATCACAGTACCTCATCAAAATCTGGTAGACGATTACTAATTTTCCTTGGCCATCTACATAATTTTGATAAGATGTCAAGTGTAATTACAAAAACAAGGTTGCACCTTTGCGAGGACCACACTTCGCTTCTTGAAATCCTATAAAGGATGCCACTAAGTCGCAAGCGGACCCCACAACTCCGTCAAGTTTGAAAGATAAATTTAGTAGCAAAATCAAGCCTCATTTCCTGGTCGTGGAAACTAGTCAAATTATCCCACCATCTACTGACGGTGTATCATTTCGAAGTAAAAACCGTCATTTATCCAATAAAAATAAAATAAGAATTATGTTGGAGTATCTTTTATTTCGTTTTAGAAGAGATTTCGTAAATCTGTTTTTATATATAAAGTAAGATTTTATTACCTCAAAGATTTTCAATTACATTTGTTAAATAAGGAAAAAATTAAAACTGTCATATAATTCTGGAAAGGATCTCTTGCCCTGTTGCTAGCATAAGCAAGCACTTAGTAGGTAATAATAAAATTGCATCGCACTTATGTAGTAAGTAATCGCTATTTGCGAAGGACCATACGTAAAAATCGACAAGACCCAGAAATTAAACATTTAAAATAACTTCTGAAAGCCCGGAGAATGCATGATACTGTGGAATGAATCTGGGTACCGTCCATTTCGCTCAACTAAGTTGCTATTGCTGCCTAAAAGTTAAATGATGACAAAAACCTTTTTTTTAATTTAGACAAAATAGTTATTTTCCAGACTATAAATATTAGCTGTTATGTTAAGCGATATTCTCCAATTTTGTTTACTCATAATTCTCAAACATAACACCTAAGTTAACTGAAACCGTCGGGTAAATTTTCGAGAAATCAGCAATACTTTTTTGTAAAAAATAAAGTATTTAAATCTTACTTCGTATTTCTACTTCTACAGTTCTTACAGTCAACTAAATGAGTAATTAGGTTAAAGTCAAAAACTTAATGTAAAGTTTTTGTCTCCTTCAAGAATTTTTCGCTTATTTGCACACAAATTGTATGGAGGGTGAATATTATGAGTAAATTTAGGTGAATAAGGAACCTAGGTGCCCTCTATCTCGCAATCCTAAGTATTTTTGTCTACCTAACTTCACATAGTTATATGTGTTGCCTTGGCGAAAAAATATTCAGCAGGGTATTCTGGGGAGCCTCCTGGTTCAAATGCTATATTTTATTGCACTATTGCACTGTATTGAGGGTTAGATTCAATTTCCTTCTATAGGATTGGGAGATCTTCTATATTTTGTCGAAACCAAGGGCAACAGTTTTCAGATACCTTCCAAGCTCCAGAAGTTAATAGTGGAAATTCGCTCTTAAGGATCAACCTTCAATAAACTTTATCTAAAGATATTTTTATACTATAGAGTGCATAGAATTTGGCTACCTTCCATGAAAGGAATTCCTGCACAAATTTATCTTGATCCCTCTTCTACAGGTTTTGACTGAGTATCTAGTACATTTTGCTACATCAGTAGCAGTATTTTCTTTGTGAAGCCCATCTAACACCCTATTCAACAAGTGACTTTGGTTTTCCTCTACAAAAATTCTACTTAGAATGCCCGATTCTATCAGCATGGATTATATTTGATCCTTAGGAGTATATTATAACTTTTCATAACTTTTTCACTTGACTAAACCAAGGTCAAGAGGGAATC